TAACGATGCTGGAAACTGAGTTATTAAACTAAAGATTTAAGTTTTAGCAAATTATTTCTAGAAAAAAAATGGAAGATGTGATGGAGGAATGTCAGAAAAATAGTTGGAGAATAATTATATTTATCATATTTATCATAATAATTGATGGGATTAATTAAACATGTTCCCTTTAAACTTTCATGTGGAATGAGTAATATGAGTAATAATACGAGTCAAAGTCACAGCATCTTCAGCTCACCGCTTGACCAGGAGGTCCAGGAACGCCACATTCTCCCTGTGAGAAGTAAAGTAAAGCAAGGAAATCAAATTAATGCAAATAAATCCTGTCCGTCTCAGAAAGGTTTGGTGTTAAAGTGGATTGACTGGTCTTGAGTAATGCAGCAGATAAAGTTTAAACAAAGTCCCTTTAAGAGAAGTAATTTGCGGCCATATTTGAAACGCATGCAATGCAATGATATTTGACAACAACTGCCTCATAAATATTGTTCCTTATGCTCTAATAGTGTTAAAAATAAAAGCTTATTATCAGGCTAGATCAGCCAGTAGATCAGTCCTAAACGCGTGTCTCAGAACGCTGACTGTTTCTATAGCAACCGGGAGCTGCAGTGATGCACTGACTTTACCGATTAGTGATTGGCTCTTTTACTCAGAAGGCGGGGCTTCCTTCAATAGAGCGGCCATATTGAGCGTTGCATTTTTCCCCATTCAAAACTATACGAGTGACACGTCTTGGATATTCTATAGTCTTTAGGTTAAAGAAGTCATGGGTGACCTTCAGTCCTTTGGGTCCCTGCGGCGCATGAACTCCAGACACAATCCCCGGCTCTCCTTTCTGACCCTACAGCAGCAATTCATGCAAAACACACACAGCAGAATTAAAAACACACTCGCATTCACATTCAGCAACAACAAGAACTTCTGATGATAATGTGTGAAATCAGAATATGATGCACACACAAACCTCTGCAGCTGTTTGAATCACACACACACACACACACTCACACACACACACACACACACAC